GTGAAGGAGGAGTTACAAATGTGTAGGAGAACAGGGAGTAATAAGTGGGCTACTTTCTTAATGATGCTCATTGGTATATTATCTTCGCCTGCTGCTGCATCTTTGGACATTTTTATGATGGTCAATAATTCATCTGCTGTGACAGGGGATAAGAACAGCTCATTTTGCTGTCTGTTGTACAGGCAGACTAAATTCCTTGTGGTGATCAGGAATGCTCCTTGCAAGATTTTTGCCAACATTAATAAAATAATCATTGAAGTGGTTAGTAATGAGGGAGGGTTCCGTAACAACTGTATCATTTATCATAGAGGCTGAGTGGGGAGCCGTAGGTTGAGTGTTCCTGTTTTGAATTGATAATACTCCAGGTTTTCTTACTGTCTCCTGATGGTGACTGGAGTTTCTTTGTATAATAGTTACGTCTGGCATTACTAACTGCTTGAGTTACTCTATTTCTTATACTTCGGGAAGCATCACCGAAAGTTATGGGTCTTTTTCCAAATTTTCTTTGGCGTTTGTGTATGTCATGGATTTCTCTGTATAAATTATAGGAGCCATAATGCACTTTAAAACTGCTTAAGTAATGGTTGGATATTATTATTATTATTATTATTATTATTATTATTATTATTATTATTATTATTATTATTATTATTATTTATTATATTATTATTATTATTATTATTATTATTATTATTATTATTATTATTATTATTATTATTATTATTATTATTATAATGAATAATTAGTCTTATGAGCGTGGGTAGCCATCGGATGATTTCACTGAGTTGGGACGAGTCATCTAGTTCTAGTAAATGACTTTAATCCTGGTGAATTGCTTAATATAAATGAACCAATATTGTGTTACAAATGTACAGGGTGTCCATAAAGTCCAGTTCTGATTTCAAACATTTATGATGCACAAACGGCATAAGATATTGAAATGCATTTATGAGGGGCATTTGCTTGAGTGAAAAGCAAAGCTTGAATAATTACTCATTCAAATGCAAAAAAACTGCTTTTCAATATTTTATGCCGTTTGTGCATCATAAATGTTTGAAATCAGAACTGGACTTTATGGACACCCTTTATTATAACTATTAAATTTATGAAGCAACACTGAGTTGTCAAAGTAAAGTATAAACTTTATAATTTGAGTGACAATCTTGTGACAATGACGTCAATATTGGAGGGCTTTTGGGCAGAGAACTGTAGCTCATCGGGTTAGCCAGAGCTTACACAACCTTGACTAATGGGCTTACCGAAAAAGAAGGACAACTCAGTTGCTTCAAATTACGTTAACACAAGTAATATCAATGTAACTGCAACTCCTCATTGGCTGAGCCTCATTTGAACTTCATCAATCTACCATAGTACCGCCATCATATCTGAGGTTGGCGACCACAGTCCTTCATTCTAAACGTTCTCGGGCTGTTTTTGCCAATCCTCCAAGGTTTTCTATCTATCTGGGGACCCAGTTTTTAATATCATTCATCCACTTCAGTCTCTGCCTTCCCCTGGCCATTAATATTTCTGTTATTATCTCCTCATTCCTAATTCTATGACCAAAGTATCTATTTTTTTCTTTTTCTGTACATTTCAAGTATTTCCCTTGAATAGTTTGGCTAATCTTGGTACTTAATATGAATTCATAAACCCTTCCTGCGGGAGTCAGCTAAGTCTTTGCTAATTCTGTGGGAGAAAGGTAGATCTCGTAGGAGTGGGGTGAGGAGAAGGTGAACCCCCTTTTACAAAATTTAATTTAATATATTTTAATGTCGTTTAATCGTTAAATATTTCTACAAAGTATATAATAAGGAATATTTGCCTTTGGCAAAATAATTGGTAAGGAGGAGTAGTTTACTTGGCTAGTAAGCCTACCGTGTCCTTGAGCTTCCCTCAAGGAGGAGGGGAAAGTGAGCTATTTTGGCTTTGTTTAGAGGTAAGAAAAGCTTGAAACACAAGAACTAGTTGCCTGTCGTAAATTGTAATGTTCAAAAACTAAAGAGTGAATAACCGAATATTAAAGCTAACACTGGGTTCTTTGTCAGGTAGGCGAATGAATGTCACCACCTGTAGACGTCTTAACCCAGGATGAATGTGTTGTAGGTATACCCGCCGTGTGAGAACTGAAGTTATAGTGAATTTAAGTGGTAGTCTTAATTAGTAACCTATGTGAAATATGTCAATAGATTGAAAGAAAGATATTTTGTCTATGACTAGACTTGTTACCATAATTTTTAAGTATTTAATGCTAGTGCAGTTTATTTGTTTTATTCCGGTGTTATTTTATAAGCAAATTAGTTTAGTATAACAAATTTTATTTATTAAAAGTGTAATGTTGAGAGCGGGTTCAAGTCCGAGCTCAGGTGCCACTTAAGTACCCATTTCAAGTGTCACATTTGTTCAAGTTCTACTTGGTTACTGACGGCTCAATGAAACACAGTCTCCACAAGTGCAGTTTACTAGGAGAGGTCTGTAGAGTGGTGCAGCAGGAAACAATCTGTCTCACAGGGTAATACACATGATCACGAAACCTCGTGCTTTGTCATCTAACTACTCAGACATCCAACTTCATTCACACCGCTGGGTGGCAGCACCCATGCACACGTCAATCACGCTACTAGAGGACAGCACTCGTGCACACGCTCATTCACGTCACACAGCGGTTCACTTGCTCGGCTCGTTCGCATTACATAAACACCACACAACATTCAAATTGGAACCAGAAGTACAAGTCTGAGTCAGAGTAACAGAAATTGTGCAGGAAAAACTAAGAGAAGAATGTCCCCACTGCTTGACTAAGGTTATCCTGAGGGTATTTGTCCGAACAAGACATTGTCTCAGATGGTCTCTGTGTGTCTAAGTGACAATGCTATGTTTTATTTTGAAGTAAATGTAAGGAACAAGTAAGTTAGAAGTCTTTTGTTTAGCCCTCACCGTTACCATCACTGCAAAATCAGTACTTATTTTTCTATCCCGGATCACACGCTACCATTCGTTTATGATTCCTAGTTGGTGAAAAAGAAGATTGTAAAAGCGCAGGTTGAAAGCACGACATATTGCATGTATTATATTTTGCTTGCAAACGCCAATTTTATTTTCATATATTCATTATACCACGCCGTCCATCTGGCAATAAACATCTTGCAAGTGTATCTCTGACCGTTCGTCACGCCTAAATCAACATTGACAACTTTGGTACGTTGTATATTGAACGAACCCCACAGCGAGGTTCATGTTCTCAGACACAGATGTCACTCAGTAATGTTATGTGCAAACTGAATTGCATGAAGGAATGTTTTCTGTTTTTGACAATACACAATACTCTACATAATTCCTTTAAACCTTTATTGTTATTGCTTACGAACACATAGTGGAAACACAAGAAAAGTTGTCCATGATCTTTGGAAGATATCTAATGTTTTCATGTATTAAGGTGCTTTGGTTGCTAACGTCTTTAAGCACCATTCACAATTATTAGTTTTTGTCACTGAAATAAAAAAAAAATCAGTGTAATTGACAATTTAAATGATGATGATATCTATGCTATCAATATAATGTATTAACATGTTTCAGGGCTTATGTTCTCTGGGTGCAGGATCAGAGTCTACGCTAAAACAAAAGTTATAAAACACATGGAAAATATCCTTCCTGACCGACGTGTCATTGTGGTGGTGATGCATTTGTCAGTTTCATCTTCCTTAAGGTCGCGCAACTTGTCAATTCTTATCCTGCACTAGATATGATTTTTATAGATCAAGAGAACTTCATCCCTTTAGTTAAGGTCGTTCAAGGAGTATAATTAGGAAGCCTTAATGAACACCTGAAAATACCAGAACATTGCCCGCCTACTAACCCACCTACCTGCCCGCCCACTAACCCACCCATCTGCCTGTCTGCCCACCCACTAACCCATCTGCCTGTCTGCCCACCCACTAACCCATTTGCCTGCTCATCCACTAACCCACCTACCTGCCCACCCACTAACCCACCCACCTACCTGCCCACCCACTAACCCATCTGCCTGTCTGCCCACCCACTGACCCATCTGCCTGTCTGGCCACCCATTAACCCATCTGCTTCCCCACTTACCCACCTATCTGCTCGCCCACTACCCACCCCTGCCCACCCACTAACCCACCTACCTACCTGCCACTAACCCATCTGCCCTGCCTACACCCATCTGCCTGTCTGCCTACCCATCTGCCTGTCTGCCCACCCACTAACCCATCTGCCTGTCTGCCCACCCACTGACCCATCTGCCTGTCTGCCCACCCACACCCATCTGCCTGTCTGCCCACCCACTGCCCATCTGCCTGTCTGGCCCATCTGCCTGTCTCTGCCTGTCTGCCCACTGACCCATCTGTCTGCCCACCCACTGACCCATCTGCCTGTCTGCCCACCCACTAACCCATCTGCCTGTCTGCCCACCCACTAACCCATCTGCCTGTCTGCCCACCCACTAACCCATCTGCCTGTCTGCCTACCCACTAACCCATCTGCCTGTCTGCCCACCCACTAACCCATCTGCCTGTCTGCCCACCCACCAACCCATCTGCTCCCCCCCACTTACCCACCTATCTGCTCGCCCACTAACCCACCTACCTGTCCGCCCACTAACCCACCTACCTGGCCAAACACTAACCCATCTGCTTGCACACACTCCTGTCTAACCCACACCTGCCTGCCCAATTAACCATCTTCCCGCCCACTTCCCTATTCGTCTGCCCACAAAACTACCCACTCACTGACCTGCCATACACCCACTCATCCATCCATGCATCCATCCAACTTCTTACCTGCCCATACACCCACCTACACATCCATCTATCTACCATACCTAACGACCTGCTCACCCACTAACCAAATAGGAATAGCAATCAATCTAGATTATCTACGCTATTTTAAAAATCATATTGGGATCAAGTAACAATAGTTCTTAGCTTCTCAAGTTGAAAAGTACAAAATATATAATCATTATCATCCAAAAAACACTCAAATTAATTTTGATTACCTATCGGACCTTTAATGGTACAAAGGAATATACTACGGCAATATTTTCTTTACAGTCTGAAATTAGTTCTTGCCTCAGAAAAAAACATTAATCATTACTGTGTATGTCTAGTACCAAACACTGAAACTATTATAGACTGTAACAAGAAACCTTAGATCAATTGATTCAGTTTTAGCGAGCAATACGGATGGGTTTCCCTGAGAAGACAGCGGGGTTGAAGAGCAGGTCAACGACGCAGCCATTCCCGTTACACACTGGAAGGATAATTATAAATTAATATACGCTGCTGTTATGCACATACATAAACATACGTGTATACTGTATTATGGTTGTCCAGTCTCTAACATTTTTTTTTTTTTTTACCGAAAACTTTTTTTAAGATTATCTTGAAAATTAAAAAGTGAACATTCTGAAAGGACACTCGACGTATTGACTTCTTCAACGGGAATCATCTTTCATATGCACGACCAGATTTAAAGCCACACCTGCAGTATATACGTATTCAAATGTAATATTTTGACATCCATAAGTGTTGTCAGGAGAAGTGACAAGGTATTGGAGAACATCTGATATCGCTAATAAGAACTCTAGGAGCAAATACTGAACATCTGAGAAAAATATAAATTCATGTATCTTACGAGTATCTCATTCTCTTGGGCAGTTTTTAATACCCTCAAAATAAAGTTGATTTAATAATGATCATATCAGTCACCCAAGAATAACATTTGTCGAACATTATTTTGAGCTTAACCGAAAATTAAGTTTGTTTCCTTGTGGGATTCCTATCTGTTTTATCTATTGATTTTACCCTTTGTCATTCATTCCAATCATGATATCTAGCGTACAGGTGTTTGCGTGAATTTACAAAAGTCTTTAGTACAGTACTGCCTATATTGTAATCTGTTACCTTGGAACCTGTAATAGTTGACGCAAGTTATCATCAATCTATTAAACTCTTGAAAAAGCAAATATTTTGTTATCTTTAATGTGTATTGTTTTGATCTGAGCAAAACAATGTTATTTAGCAGACATCAAATGCTGAGATCTGACCGAAAGAATTTAAACAATCTGAGTGTAGCTGGTGTTAAATAATGTCTTAACCAGGCAATAGTAAGCTAATGTTTGAGGAAACCAAAGTTCTTCTTTATAATCAGAATACAGAAAGACTCCTGTGAAACATATATGTCTCATTGTTCCAAATATTTATAGAAACTAAAGGTTTAAAAAATGTAATGACGACATTAAATACGCAACATCTTCACCAACGGTACCTGCTACATAGTCTGAGGTCTACGTACCCGACATCGTCATATTATATTGAGAAAATACCTTAATAAACTTAACAAATATTCAGCAATATCTTTCTCCAAAAAAATAACAATATTAGTCATTGGTCCGAATTTTGGTAATGGAGTTTGTATTTTGGGTTAGCGCGGCATAACCTTCCTACGTAAGGAAAATTATGTAGTCACCCAAAAAAGTCCTGTCGCGAAGTATGAACCCCGAGATTCAGACTCTTGAATCCGAAGCATTTATGGACAGAATAATGTATCAGTGTCTACTGCTTCGGGTTCACGAGTCTGAATTTATTTTTTTTTTTATTGGGCACTCCCCTACATCTTTGTGTAAGGTGAAGCGCAGAAGCGTTTACAGTGCCCAACAGGGAAGCATGCTAAGTTCATGCTTGCCTTTTGTCTCATGAGTTAAGGGCATAGAAGCCTGAAGAGTCAAGGGCGTAGAAGCCTGAAGAGTCAGTGGTTTATGTCATCAAGTTATTGGAAGCTCCAACAACTTGTCCCTGAATACGAATTCGCAACTTTCGACTTACAACAGGTACCTACTTTACTGCTAGGTGAACAGGGACTAATGGGGGCTAGGAAGTATGTCCAAACAACTTCCACCGGCCCGGGAATCGAACCCGTGACATCTCGCTTGCGAAGGCAAGAGCGGTGCCACTCTACCACCAGCACCCCCACGAGTCTGAATCGTGGTTCGCGACAGGACTTTTTTGGGTGACTGTACATTATTTTTATACAATACATTATGTTTTCTTTAGCCCTTGAGTCACGGCACCATAACTTAATAAAGTTCTCGTCCTAAAAGGTAGTAAGTTTCACTTCCAATTCCTCATAGAGAGCAAACGAATCTGTAATAGAAAGTGATGTCACAGATGAACCTTAGTTTACAAAATCATTAAAACACCACCTGACAGCTGCACAAGCTCATATGGTAGGTCTTTACTTCTGAGATCTAAACCCTTCGAGACAAGAATGTAACTGACCGTGCCCAGTGTTAACCTGAAAAGGGGTCACATAAAATCACCCACATAAAAGGTCAACCCGGAAGCATTACCTAACACAATTTAACACTCCACGGCTTTGTCAAACTATCTATCTGTCAAGGGCTGTTTATTGTTACAATATCCATTCTGTGAAATCCATATAATGTGCATGAAAATGTGTATGCTAACCATGGTTTAAATAAATACATTATTTTTGTCAAAGATGGTTATAATATATGTATAGCCTACGGCCCTACGCACTCACCAAGACACTTGCAGTTTCAAATGACAGGTTAATCTTGTGTGCGTGCAACTCTTCAGACTGACACCGGTTCACTTGCCCTCATGTCTCGCGAGGTTAAGTTCTCATAAGTAAAAAAAAAAAAAAAGAACTCCTACATGGGGAATATGAAGAAAGACTTACTTTTTTCCAGAACGAGAACTTTATGGAGTTATGGCACTGTGACTCCAGGCATAAAGGAACCGCGTGATGTGTATGGAGTTGTAGGATAATTATTTAAGAAAGGAAAGTTATACCAAGCCAACCGAAAACACAGATTACTGTACATTAAAAAAAATTCTTCGTGACCATAATATTTTTTTTGTTAGATCTATATGCTACTTATTGAGTCATAATTTATAACTGCTACATATCAGAGTAGTGATAAGAAACAATTATTCAATCTATGGACAAAAAAAAAGTTTATCAGCTGATCTGTTCTGGTGTAAGTATAGACAAATGATAAGTACTGTACATTGAGTGAATCCACCCTAAAAGTATTCTCAGCAGCCAAAGAAAATTCACATACTGTACACTGTTAGCCTTAAGATTCGTAAGGTAAGGTTAAGGTTGCAACTACGAATGTACGAGCGGACGGTGCAGGTGATTCAGTTCTGGACTTCCTTGCACAGCTCTTTGTAGCTGCCCTTGCAAGGCCTAGTGAGGAAATCAAAACAGCCGGACTACATTAGGACATTCTCAGTAAATGACGGATTTAGCTGTAGCCTTCCGTTTGCATGAAACATCTTTTCGCGAGCTCTAATTGAAAGAAATTTCCACAGGTATGTTGATTTAGCAATAAAAGAGCAACATATGCCCTATGCCCGCCGTTAAACGCTCCCGTTCGTTGGAGACGGCGGCAAAAGGTGACAGTGATGCTGACGACTTTCATCTTGAAGATAAGTCTCAGAAGCAGAAACCTCAGAAGTCAGGGTCTCCAGCAGGGGCTACGGCTCCCTCCCCCACCCCGTCTGGGGCTGTAGAGTTGTGACTCACCTCCTTCTGTCCCCAAGTGAGCTGACATGTGGCTCAATGACCGACCCTCCGCCGACGATGAACATAGGGGATTATTCTCGTTGTCTCCCTGCCCCGTCGCACCTTCTTCGTCTCGCCGTTCCTCGGGACTTGCCTCTGAGCACACGGACGACCTGGTTCTTCCGTCACTGCTCTCCACTTCAGGACTTATCACTTCGCCTCCGCTGAGGTCCTACAGCCGTAATAGTCACCACACAAATGGACGAGACGGGACGCTTTCTCCCTCAAGTGGGTTTTCCTGCTCCCCAGGGGGAGGTGATGCTGAAGTTCACCACCATCACCCCAGAAACTCGTCGTACCAAAGTAATGGTTCGCCATGTACCCTGGGAGATCCCTATCGACGATCTTCGCCCTCCAGGCTCCGTTGTGGGTCGTTTGACCTGTGCCCGTGTGGGCTAATTCCCGTAAAAAAAAAAACACACAGGTACACCAAGTTGGTTCTATGGAAACAATCACTCTCCGTCTGGATCGCCACTCCAAGCAAATCAACCTTCTCTCTGCCCAACTAGACTCGTTTGTGAAAACAATTGCGACACTGCAGAGGCAACAACAACTCATTCTGGACACCCTGACCCAACAGGGGCGCCCTTTGCAAGCCCTGGTGACCCGCATCCTTCCTTCTCCCGAGATGGAGGATCCATCTCTCGCTCTCCCACTCCTCCCTCTCCACTCAACAGAATTTGGTACCTCCTCTGGAGCCCTGTCTAGCCCCACCGACTCATCTCACACCGGAGGCCGTTCCCTCCTCTTCTTACAATGGAACATCCAGGGACTTAGACCTCGCCGGACAGACCTCGCCCAGTTTGTGCTCTCCCATCAAGTAGATGTTGCTCTACTTCAGGAAACCATCACAGACGATGTTACTCCACTCCGCCTCTCTGTCTATACTGTTTACACCCTGCCTCGGTACCGTGGGCAGGCTCGTGGCCTCCTCACCCTTGTGCGTAACACCATTCCATCTGTTCGTCTCCCTTCACCTGACTCACATGGACCCCCGTCTGAATTACTTTCTGTCTCCCTTACTCTTGGTGACCGGACCCTTCGTGTAGTCAATGTTCATTTCAAGAGTGATTCTCTGGACCCCCAGGTTCTTCACGACCTCCATGATGGGGTTCCCACTATTGTTCTTGGCGACTTTAATGCCCGCCATCCCACTCTTACTCCGGATCATCCCACGCCATGTACCCTTAACGGATCACATCTCTCACAGTTTCTTAATGGGGATGATGACGTTCGCTTTCTTTGTCCTGACGACCCTACTCGCTTCCCCCATAGTTTCCTTGATGTTGGCTTACTATCGAACGGTCATACCTCCTTTCATCCTGCCGTCTACACCGAGCCTGCTCTGTATAGTGACCATCTTGCCGTTACTACCCATCTCAGGCTCTCCTTCTCTGCCCCGACATCAGCTCCTTATCGATCCCCTCGCCTTCGTCTCACACAAGATGCTGTTCCTTCCTTTACCCAATACCTTTCTACCTGGGCGGATTCCTATGTTGTCCCTCAGTCCCTTGACTCTTACAGCTCTGATTTTGTTGATGCCGTGTATGACTCTGTCAATCGCGCTGCCTCTCCACGCCCTCTCCGTCACCCCAGAAGTGCCACCAACTACTGGTATCGTATCCCTGCCATGAGACATTTCCGGCAGGTAACCCGTGATTGCCACTCTGCCATACGGAGGTCTCGCTCTCCAGAGGACTGGGAAGACTTCAAAAACTGGTGCTCCTTTGCAACTCAGGAGCGTCGTCGGATTCGTGAGGCGGACTGGCTATCCTTCACGGGGTCTCTATCGTTCCAGTCGTCACCCTCCTATGTCTGGAATCTGATTAATGCTATACGGGGTACTCGACGGAGGCCTCCTCCCCACCCCTACCCCGCCTTCGTTGCCTGCTCTTTAATGGAGGACTGGGCACGAGCTTCATCCCCTGTGGCAATCTCCAGATCCAATGCAGGAGGCAGTGCAGGCTCGCATCGATGCGTCTGAGCCTGTTGTTCGTGCTGCTCTTACCTCCCCTGCCCCCACTGATCATCCCATCACACAGTTCGAGCTTGACAGTGCTCGTCGCTCTGGAAAAGACACCTCTCCTGGGGATGATCAGGTAAACTACTCTGTCCTCAACGCCTGTACTAATATTCCTAACGGCCCCTTGCTCGCTCTCTGCAATATGTCTTATGAACTTGGGGTTCTCCCGTCCAACTGGAAAAATGCCACTATTATCCCCATCCCTAAGCCGGGAGATCCTGGGAAATATCGACCCATTAGACTTACCTCCTGTGTTTGCAAGATGGTGGAGAGGATACTCCATCGTCGCCTTCTTCACACCATAGGCGGCTTACACAACTCCCTTAATGGTTTCATACAACATCGCGGCACAGCACACCCCATTGCTTCCTTTTATTGCAATCAGACTGCCTACGTCTCCGTCTTCCTTGATATCAAGGGAGCCTTTGATACGGCTCAGTCTGCCCTTATTTTAGCTGAACTTGTTCGGTTAGGGGTTAAAGGGAGACTTCTTCAATGGATCGCCTCTTACGTCACTGGACGTCAGGCCCGGGTTCGCGTTCAAGGCTCTATGTCTCCTGTTCAAGAAATGAACCTCTGCACCCCTCAAGGTGGAGTCCTGAGTCCCACCTTGTTTAACACTCTCATGCACTCCATTGCATCTCTCCCGTGGCCGACAGAAGTTGTCCACTCAGGATATGCCGACGATGTCCTCCTCCAAGCCCCTGACTACCTCAGCATGCAGGAAGCCCTTGATCTGGTCTCCAGAGAGTGTGATTCACTTGGTTTCCTTCTTTCAACTGCGAAAACAAAAGCCATGTGGCACGGTCGTGTTGTACCTCCACCCCTTCTCTTATCAGGAACGCCCTTGGACTGGGTTAATGAGACAAAATACCTGGGTGTGTATGTAACTCGCACACGTTGTCTGATCCCTGAAGTCCGCTATCTTCGAGACATATGCTTTCGGCGTCTCGCTCCCCTCTCTACCATGTGCAGGGGTTCCCTTGGTGTCACCATCCCTGTACTTCTCACCAGGTACAAGTCCTTTGTCCGTTCCTGTGTCGACTACGCCGCCCCTGCCCACGTCAACATTAGTGGGACTGCTGTCAACCGTCTCGAAGTTATCCAGAGGAAAGCTGCTCGTATCATCCTTGGGGCTCCTCAGTGGACACGCTCTACTTCTCTATATACCGAACTTGGTCTTTCCCCCTTACAGGATCGTGTCCAGGAGTTTTACCTAAAACTACCGTTTCCATTCTACGGGATTTTCGTGGCAACTATGTCCAAGCCAACTTGGCTCCTGCTGTCCGAGGCCGACCTCCATCTAGAAGACAGTGGCGAGGGTCACTCATCCGAGCCCTTCAGGAACACGACGTCCTGCCTGATATTGTTGTCACCCCTGCTGTTGGTTCATCTCCTTCTCCCCGGCTGGATTTTCAACCTGAAGTGATTACCCTCGGTGGACCGCTCCCAAACTCCCACGTGAACCCTGTTATTCTCTGCAAATACCACCTCTCCAGGAAGGCCCACTGGTCCCCAGGTACGGTCGTCCTCTACACTGATGGTTCTGTTGACCCCGCTACAGGTTGGGCCGGGGCTGTTGTCTACATCTCCCGTCCTGATGCCCCTGAGCCTATCAAACTTTCTCTCAGAGTTTCTGACGGGGCATCCTCCACTCAGGCTGAACTGATAGCCCTCCTTGCTGCCCTTCTCGCTGAGGAAGAAGCAGATGCCCCTTGCTTGTCTGCTGCGATTCCAGGTCTGCTTTCGACGGGATCGCATTTGGATCAGGGGAAAATCAGGACCTCATCCTCCGAATACGAGGGTTAACATCAACACTTCAGCATACAGGCCGTCCTGTTACATTCCTATGGATACCAAGTCATGTCGGTATCTTGGGGAATGAGGCAGCAGATGGCCTTGCCAAGACTGGCTGTAACAAGGTCACACCTGACTACATTGTTCCTCAAACACTTTTACAGCTTAAGACCCAAATTCGCCGCAAACAGAGAGAAGCTCGGGAAGCAGCCATACCCCTGGACTCCCCGCCCACCTGGTACGATGTCCTCCATAAACTCCCTGACCTCTCGTATGTCTATGGGAAAGGGTGGCGGAAGAGGCACGTGATTGCTGCCCGTGTCATCATTGGGTATGACTTTGCTTGGAAGATTGGTAATCCCGCTTCCTCTGAGCATCGCGCTTGTGCATTATGCAGAAGACCCGACAACCGCACCCTTGTCCACTACCTCCTAAGATGTCCCCACACACAACGCTTCCGTGACGCCTGCTGGACCACCACTCCACGACCCCATGACGGAGACACGATGATCCTCCTCATACTGGCCAGATATTATGTAAATAATATTGATGTGTTGAAGGAATATCCTTCCTTCTTTAGGCTTTAGTAAGCACCTTTATAATATTTATATATATTTGCGACATTTGCCAGATACTCTTGGTGTTATTGTACAGGGGTACCTAGTGACAGCACCAGGATCCCTCTTCCTCTATCATGGAATAAGATATTGAAAATGAAATTATACAGTATTTTTATGATCTGCATGATAGTTATCGCTAATCGGCATTTATCCCTTTTCAGTGTAATATATACTGTATATATATATATATATATATATATATATATATATATATATATATATATATATATATATATATATATATATATATATATATATATATATATAGATAGATAGATAGATAGATATAAGCACACACCACTAATGTCTTACCTGTATGTGCATGTGCAGGAGGTTTGGGAGGTACACCGATATCACTACACTCCCCCTTAGCATGATCGCACCCTGTCAATGGAAATTCAATCATTCATAGTGAAAATACCCTATACTCCTTTGTTTCATTGACTCTGGGTTTTCTTGTTCCCATGTGCACCACCTTGCCATTGATATATATTATCATTATTAACAGTAGTAGTAGAAGAAGATTAATTAACAGCTCACCTTCAGTCATGGTTTCGACAAATATTCGTTGCTCCGTCATCTCCTGCACTGTATTGAGCCACTTATCCATCTCCGGCTCCGGGTTCTGCTCTCCATTCTTAATCATACACAGGTCGAAGGTACAAGCGTCTGTGGGTGATGATAAGGAAGTTTTAAAGAGTAAGTGGTGCGATAAAGTTGCACCAGAGATGGCGGAGAGCCATCAGTGCAGTTATTAGTGGAGTACCACAAAGAGTTATCCTTGGACCCAACTTGTTCCTGATCTATATTAAGGACATCGATGGAAATATATCAAGCCACACGAGTATATTTATGAAGGTGGCAAGGCAAGACGATGTCGCAATCATGCAAAATATCTGCACAAGCTGTTCAAGTGGTTGCAATAGTGGCAAAAACTGTTTAAAGACGATGTCGCAATCATGCAAAATATCTGCACAAGCTGTTCAAGTGGTTGCAATAGTGGCAAAAACTGTTTAACTTTACAAAAATTTAAGACTGCACGTGGGATACAACAACCCTAAAGAAAGCTATTCTCTGAAAAGCACTTTTCTGATAATGTTAATAAAGAAAAAGATATCGGTATCGTGATAAACCATTCACTGAAGGCTACGCAACAAGCAGTAAAAACAGTTAACGAAAATCTAGGAATTATAGGACAAATACAAGAAATTTCTCCTCCAAATTTATAAGCATCTCGTACGTCCTTGTATGGATGACTGTATACAGGCATGAAAACCTTACTTCCTGAAAGACTTAATACTACAAGTTTTACTACTACTACTACTTTGCTGTCACCTCTCTGAGGTGACTAGTGAGGCCGATACAGGACCGGCAGGATCGTTCATAGATGTTACACATGTGGAGAGCTACATCTAGTGCGAGAGGGGCGGCGGCAGTGTACACTAAAGTCACCACAGCCATGGAAAACAACACCCCCAAAACACACACGGCTGGAACCAAGAAACAATAACTCTTTTCAGAAACCTAAAGGAAGAGCTGAACGAAATATGTAAACAATCACACAACGACAAATGGAACCAGCTAATCACAAACACAGAGGCCGACTATCACAATCCAAAACTCTTCTGGAGTAAAATAAAAAACCTAATGGGCACTAACTCCATAGGTAACAGCCATCTTATAGATGACAACGGGGTAAAAGCTACAGAACCTGTAGACAAAGAAATGATTTTCAGAAGTTTCTGGAGTAACATATATAAAATCACAGAAGACGAAACAGAAACTATTATAGAGTAACAGAACAGATGGTAACAACACACCTTATAGTAAACACACAGAAATGGCAACCACCAAGAACAATAGACCTCAACATACTAAACAGGGCAGACACATTAATCACGCCACAAAAGACTTAACAAACCTAATAACCAGTTTTAAAAATAAAGCACCTGGACTAAGTCAGATAAACAAAACCGTCCTTCAAAACTTACCCACAACATTGATAAAACAACTATCACAGATCTTTAACGCCTCACTAGCAACAGGACACTTCCCCACGAGATTCAAAACAGCCAAAATCAGATTCGTATCCAAACCCTATTAGAAACACCAGGCAAAATACTAGAAAAAATAGTCATCAACAAACTCAGAAACTATCGAGAACAGGAAAACAAATATAACTCCAGACAACATGGAATCCCAAAGAACAGAGGCACAAACACGGCTATTGCACTAATTTACGAAACAATAGCTAACGCCCTCAGCAATAAAAACCAGTGCAATGTCGTTCTCAGAGATGTATCAAAAGCTTTCGATAAAGTGTGCCACGAAGGCCTCAAATATAAAATAATTCAACTTGACATGCCAAAAAACATGACTACCCTTCTCTGCAACTTCTTAGACAACAGACAAGCCAAACTCATTATAGACAACTACACTGGATAAACCTTCAACATACACAGTGGAGTACCACAGGGCAGCAACATTTCACCCACACTGTAAACAATATACACAGCAGACATACCAGACCCAAGACAGTCGGACTACATAGCACACGCAGACGATATCACGCAAATAATACAATATCCGGGAAGCTCTAAACAAATGATGGCTATAAGAACAGGAAGAGAAACTGAAGCAATTAACAACTATAAGAGAAAATGGAAAATCCAAACCAACATCCAAAAACTAAATATTATATACATTGCAAAAATAATTCCATACCCAATCATAATCAGCAATCAACAGATACCATATGCAGAAAGTGGAAAACACTGGGACTCAAAATTACACATAAACGGTATACACCAACACATCAGGGAAAGATTGACAAAGCCCAAGTCACAACTAACAAAACTCCGTCGCTTCAGAAAACAAAACACCAAAACACAACTACATCTATACGAATCACTCGTCAGACCACACCTTGACTACCCACCAATTCCACTTAACACAATAACTAAAACAAGCAAACATAAGCTGCAAGCAGTCCAAAATACAGCACTAAGAAGAGCAGCAAGACATAGGCCGCCATACAGACAAAAAAATACCAGACATACACATCGAACATAACATAGACACAATTAACATAAGAACACACAAACAAGCAAAAGCGGCATGGGACACACTACACCGAACACAAGACCCTATTTTACAGGAACAAGTACAGACAAACAACAATATATCACACAGCTGGTGGCCAAGAAGCATCAACATTAACACAATCAGCCCGGAACCATTATACGCGAGAGAATAACACGACTCATATAACCGAAAAGATGGGGACTATCCTGCCAGCTCACACAAGGACCTGGTGGGACCCCCTAATCACAAAAGATGAGGAACATCCCTTCAGTAACACAAGAACCTGAAAGGACCCTCCAACAAACACTAAAACAGCACATTCACTTGGGATCACACTTTACACTAGCTTAGCTTAGCTTATCTACCCTCCCTTGCCCCTGGTGGAATGCTGGACGTCCGCCACTGGTTCAGCCACAAACCAGCCTCCGCAAGGTGGAAAGCCCACCTGCTATCATTCTTCTTCTGTACTTCCCGCTTCTTAACTTTGCCTTGCCTTTAATCTTCTTCTCCTCAGAGCCACGGCTCTCTTATCTCGGTGTTCTGACTGACTGACTGACTGACTGGCAGTGTCTTTCCGACGTTGGCGCTTGTCTACCTTGGATTGCAGTCAGGCTAACTCGAAAATATTGACACCTTTTCATACGGTGCTCCTCCAAGCGTTACGGTGTGCAGTAATCGTTTCCAAGGTGAAGGGATCGATTTGGCACTTTTTCAGGTAGGTCTCAAGACAATCCTTATATCTTTGCATTGCCCGCCAGTGTTACGTTTACTGTTCATTAGGTGATTGTAAAGTAGCTCCTTTGGTAGTCTTCTGTCGTCCATGTGGGCAACATGACCAGTCAAAAGTAGTTGTTCATGGATAATGGTAATCTCGATGCTCCTACAGTTGGTACCAGCGAGAATACTGTTATTTGTTCTCTTGTCTTCCCAGCGAAATCGGAGGATGGAATGTAGACTACGTAGGTGAAAGTTTTCAAGTGCCTTGGGGTGCCTCCTGTATGTGACCCAGGTCTCGCTGCCATATATAGCACGGTAGGGAAGACCACTGCTTGATATACATGCAACTTTGTAGATAATTTCATCTCCCTACAGCTTTAGACACGGGTACGAAGTCTGCCAAAGGCTTGAGAGACGCATCTGATCCGAAGCTGAATCTCCTCATCGATGTCCGCGGTAGTGGACAGGTGGGAGCCGAGATACGGAAAGTGGGTAACATTAGGGAGGATAGTACTGTTAAGCTGGATGGATGGTGGAGGTGTATCTGAACCAGGGGCAGGATGAAAGAGAATCTGAGTCTTACGTACATTTACCTCAAGGCCGAAGTGTGCATACACATCTGCTTAGGTGTTCAGGATCTTCTGTAGGTTCGCGTTCAGTGTGAGCAACAAGGTCGTCTGCATGCTGAAGTTCAATAATGGAAGATGCCTACACCTTTGTTCCTGCCTAATGTCGTCTTATGTTGAAAAGACCCTTCATCCTGTAGTCGATGTCTACCCCGCCAGCTGAATTGGCACTGGCACAAATAAGGAAGGCAGCCAAGAAAATGGCAAAGAGAGTTGGTGTCAGCACACATCCTTGTTTTACCCCCATTTGGAAGGGGAAGAACTCAGATTGGGTGCCATTCATGCCATTCATGCCATCGAGGAGTTGCCTCAAAATGGCGATGAATTTTTGTTGGCAGCCAAAATGACTGTGGGTCCGCCAGAGGGCTTCCCTGTTGACCGAGTCGAAGGCCCTGGTTAGATCGATGAAGACCATGTACAGGTCAGGCCGCTGTTCTCTGCACTTTTCCTGTATCTGGCGGGCAGCAAAGATCATGTCAGTGGTGCCACTTGATGTCTGAAGCCACATTGAGATTCTGGGAAGAAGTGTTTCGCCTCGGGCGATAATCTTCCCGGCTACAGACAGCAGCAAGATCCCACGGTATTTACCAGTTTGACCAATCTCCCTTGTTCTTATAAATATTGACACTGGAAATATCTTTAAGAGCTTGGGGATTTCCTCCTTTTCCCACATTTTCTCTTTGGAGAGAGTGGAGAGGGCTGGTAAGCAGAGGTCGTCCTGCTTTATGCACCTCGACTGGGACTCCATCAGACACTGAGGCTTTGATACTTTTCATCTGTTTGATGGCAGTAGTTACCTCATCCAGGGATGGAAGATAGCTGAGACGGATCAGCTCTGGATGCTGAGGGACCTGCTGGGTAGTCAGGACATCAACATCAGTGTTTCTGTTGAACAGCAAATGGTAGTGCTCTTTCCAGCAATGCCTTCTTCGTCTTTAATTAGGGAGATACCGTCAGATGACCGGAGGGGGCCTGCGCCATGGGTGATTGGTCCATAAATTGTTTTAAATTCGTGCATCTTTTGTTGATCTGGAGGTTTTTTGTTTCACATGCCCTATTTTGGTATGACTGAGGGTTGTTCTGCCAGTCAGATAAAGCAGCACGTTTATCATCGATGAGGACATTGATTTCCGGATCATTTTCATCAAACCAGTCCTGGTGCATTCTTTCGATCTGGCCTAGGGCCTTCTGCAGATTTTTATCATGACAGTGTCGAGAATACCCCATTCGGCACTGGGATTTGGGTTGTTTGTTGTCGGGTTGTTTATTAGCCTATGTTCAAACTGCTCTCTGAAAGCATGTGCTACCGCTGGATCTCCAGACGCTTAGTGTTAAAACCTCTTCTGGAGGTTTGTTGCCTTCGCCGTTTTGGGGCGACGTGAAGTGAGAGCTTGGCTCTGACGAGCCGATGATCAGTGTCGCAGTGGTCTGAGGCATGCATGTCTCGGGTGATGAGGACATCTCGGCGATCTCTTTCTCTGACAATGATGTAGTCAATGAGATGCCAGTGTTTGGATCATGGGTGTTGCCACGAACCCTTGAACTGGTCGGCCTTTCCCTAACAAGGTATTGGTGATAGTGAGGTTGTGTGAAGCACACTTGCTGAGGAGGAGTAGACCGTTGGGATTACACTTCCTAGTTCATTTCTCTCTATGATTCCCTGCCAAATGTTAGCACCTCTGCCTACTCTGTCATTGAAGTCACTTAGGAGCACAACCTTTTCTCCTCTGGGGATAGAGGTTAGCACTCTGTAAGTCGGCGTAAAAGGCCTCCTTGATGTCATCCTCTGCATCCAGTGTTGGGGCGTATGCACTGAATAAAAAGGCATGACGTAAGTGTTTCAGTGGAACTCTGGGCGTCATGAGGCGCTCGTTGATCCCAATAGGCATTTCAGTTAGCCTGTGTAGGAGGCGTTGGCGGATAGCAAAGCCAACTCCACAAATGCGAGTTTTCTCCACAGCAGACTTACCCTTCCAGAAGAAGGTATAGCCAGACCTCCGTTCTGTGAGTCGACCCTCGTCTGGGAGCCGGGACTCACTAATGTCTGCTATGCCGATGTTATACCTAGCCAGTTCTTTTCCTACAGGGGCGGATCTTCTTTCAGGATGCTTATTTGTGCCAGTATCTAAAAGGAACCTGACATTCCATGCAGCAAAAATATGAGGTTGATTAATTTGTTTTTGTTTTGATCTGTGATTATGATCGTGTTTTCGACGACAACAGCAAAATGACGCCAACTAAGTGGAATGACACACAACCCACACTACACAAGTGGGTTTCATAGCACTTGGTACATGAATGGGTGCAGCTTGTGGGATTATCTCACCACAGCTCCAAAGTAGCACATAGTCATAAATGTTCGTCTATATAAAAGAACCTCTCTGGCCGGGCTCAAGCAAATACCACATTAATGCTGGTTAGGTACCGTTAGAGCTTTATTGTTGATGTACAATATTTGAATTGCCAACGTGTTTTAACTCATAGGCATTAAAACATTTATTATAGGTACTTTGTGAGGCCACTGTGCATGTAATATTCATTATTTAAGTAACATTCCATATATAGCATTTCTTATCATTTTGATTTTCAGTCATTTGTTGCCTCATGCAACATTTAATAAAGTTGGAAAAATTCTTAGGAGTCATGTTTTGGAATTTTGCTGTTATTTGTTTTTTCTTGTTTTTTTTTACCTTACATAATACTCAAACAGAATTCAAGTATTTGTTTCATGAACTTATATTTTCACATTTAATATTTTTTTTTATATTAACCACTGTACATTTGCAATATTCTTCATGTTCTATTTCATTTTATCGTTTCCAAAATTCTTCTGTGAAAAAAAAGTCTTAGTATCGCTTACATACTGGGCCCAATTATGTCCTAGGCTATTGATGAGTTAACATCGGTGCATTCCATCACACAGGTTGGCAGAACATGCATAAACTTGAAACATTGAAAAGCAACGTTGAATAAGATATAACATAACAGCCACTCACCTCTGAGTATACCGGTTAGTGGTGCAGATGCTGGACGGTTATTGTGTTTCACATTTTCAACAGCTTCATTGCATTTGCCCGATAAAAGATTCCAATCTTCAACATTTCCCCAGCATTTGTCTACAACTTCTCGAGCCTTTTGTGTGAATGATGAAGAAAAATAATATGCAACATATTTAATGTAGATAAGGTAACCTCAGTATAATGAATTAGTCCACTGATAATTTAACACCTTGAGTACGATAAATTAATCCCTGAATACAATGAATTAATCCTTGAGTATAGTGACAGTGTACTAAGGGGATTGAGTCGTCATACTGAGGATTAAAGAATAACTTTTTACCCCTCCATGAGCATACACATGACGAGGTTATCAAGACGAAAACATACTTGTTTTGCTTATATAAACAAACTCCACAACCACTTCAACATTTTCTTTATTATTATTATTATTATTATTATTATTATTATTATTATTATTATTATTATTATTATTATTATTATTATTGGCAGTTGCTCAATATCCTTTGTAACATTGACGAATATAAATATATGATATATAGTGGACACCATTCAGTACCCTGTTTAATTGGGGCAAGCAGATGAAACAACTGGAGAAGCATTGAGCAGTTTCAGAAATAAACTCAATTAAATAATCTAGTGAAAAGAAAGTAATGTCCACACAAAGCGATATATGACCTTTGCTTCAATAGAGTAATGATTATAAGAGGCATTTATCGCCTTACACTGAAGCCTAGATTAAGTTAGTATAACCATTTCTTAAATTATTATCAAAGTTTGCATTCGTGTTCATCATCGTGTTTTTGAATATGAAGCCACTGCCAATATTTTTAACTACTGAACTTAATTGTTAAGGTACAACAGTGTGATACATACCTTAGCGGAGCCCTTTTTTCTACCGGCAGGGCAGCCAGGCGGGGTCTGATGCATTAAAAACAAAAACAAAAGTAATTAAAGACTTATAAAATTATGTGATGTAAATATCTAGTTCAGTTCTTTCTGTGTGTCAGATTTATTTTGTCTACTTTGATATGTTACGAGACTAAAATAAGTATGGAAACTATATTTACATTGACTTCACTATGACCACTAAATTAGGTGTAGATTAACTTGTTCTTTCTTAATAAATACGAAATTGTGATTATCCTCACCAAAAGTATGTTGGGAGATAAGAGTATTGACATCACTCCCAGTTTTGTTATTCATCCAGCATGTAAATCATATATTGGCTTGTTAGTTTTTGCACAATGTCTTCTACTGTCACATCGCACCTTCACCAGACCTAACTAGGGTGTTTCTCTAGGGATACACAGTAGTTTTTGTTTGGTTCCAGCTAGATATGCTTAATTTTACATCAAATACCTTGACTATATTTGGCGGGAAACAAGAGCTTTAGTTTAAATTTTGATATATGTCAAGCTAACACTTACCAACCACGACTCTGCGAATTCCTGTGGTGCAAATCCTTCGACATCGAAGACTTGTTTTCCTCGGCTGGTGAAATCATTGTCTATGTTATCGTCAGGACTTCCACATAACCCATTAACTTTATTCTTCAGGTCAGGATGAGCCCAGATGTCAATACTATTTGTGCATTGTTGAAGCTGAGAGATTAGACGTGAAGGATTAGAGAAAGTCGAGTAATATGTCATTGGACTCATAGTTAACACACTAATCTAAACAGTTATAGTATAGCACAGTAGTTATGATAAGGTTCTGAGAGTTATGATAGCTGTTGTATGACACGTAAGGGAAATGAGGAACATGTTAAAGTACAGTAAGCTATCCACCTTGATGTGAGTTAAAAAAAATCGAAATCTATATTAAATTTTCTGGCCTTCGACGACACATCTATTAAGGCCGGACTACTTTCATTCTTTAATTTTCTTTCGAATTTGTTTCATATTTTTTTCCGCATTCTTCTTTCTTCTTTATTCACTAATTGGTTATAAATAGTGTGGTCTGCAAAGAAGGGCCATCGTGAATAGCATTAGAACAAACCCTAACCTAACCTAATAACCCAGCCATCGCGATTATTATGAAGATCTAGTCAGGTTATTAACATAGTGAAAGGTAAATGTGCATCAAAACAGCAGAGGTAAGTTGGTTATATTGAAACTTAACCGTTAAATATCCCTGAGGAGATGAGAGATAGAGCCATTACTGAGATAACTGGAGCACATTCAGAGAGCATGTGGGGGGGGGGGGGGAAGACTGAATTGCGAAAAGCAAAGCACGTGGTTCAAGTGTTTAAAAATAGTGTCAGTCTATTAACAAGCCATTTTTTTATGATTATTCATGAAATAATGTTCTAAATGGAAGGCAGCAATAACGTATACCAGAATAAACAAATATCATGAAAACAAAAATAATATGGTAGCTAAAAACGTTTCCTGTACTGCCAAAGTGAAAAGGAGTTAGACTGAAGTGACAATGGGCCGTGGTTGTCTTACAGTTTAGCTTGGATATTTATTTAAATCTTCTAATTATGGTTTCTCTGAGACAAGCATTTGTTTGGTAGTTGTTGGGCCTGTATCACTTCTCTTTAGTTTTTTCTGTATGTTGGGGACTACTCTTCGACAAGGGATTAAGAGTATTTTTATATTTATTTGGGTGCAGATAACGAGAAGCCTGAGTGATTGGTCAAGCTAAGTTCAGCCATTTATTTTATACATTTGCCTACTCTGATGTTGCACTGCCTGAACACCCATATAAAGACCATGTGTTTATTGGGCTTATCTAGACTGTCAACAATTCTCTCCTGAATATCGCACAGAACTTTTAGATATATTTTTTTTCTGCAGTTGCTTGCAGTGCAATTTATCTATCAAATGCAGTCTTCTTTAGCATTTCATATCTTATCTTTATAGCATGTGGCGGTCTCGCTAATAATTTCTTGCTTCTTGTCCTGAGGGTCGCTGATTCGATTCCAGGGCATTTTCACTCCATTCAGTTGTAAATGGGCACCTATCTTACGGTTGGAAAATGAAAGTGATCACATGCCTTGCCGGCCACGCTGCTTCCTTGCGTACCGATGGCTTAAAATATAGACCGTCCTTAAGGAGAGCCACATTCACCCTCACCTTTTCACACATCCATTCAACCATTCTGTCACGAAATAATCCTACCCATTTATGAAAATGTGTTTAAAAATGTTGGCACTTGTTTAATGGATCGTTTGGGATATTCAGGTAACTATATGGCTTATTATTTTTCGGTATTTTGATTGGTTAGTGTTTGTTTCTCTGTTTCTGAAGCATGGTAGGTCTTACAGCTAAGGGTTCAGGTAGTTGCGTGCCTCACCTGCTAGTCCGTGGTATACCCTCGTGTAGGAATAGGATCTTAATTTGATATCATCTGTATTCATCTGTGACTTAGTGTTGTATATTAGATTATTCCTAGATAATTATTCAAATTTACATAAACATTAAGTCAAAAGAACTAGAGGTTTTATGCTACACTTTGCTCAAGTCGTTGTCATTATACACTCGTAACTCTGCAATGTGTTTATTTGCCCTAAAAAAATGGCCTGGAATAGAATGCAGTATACTGTAGTATTATAATTATCTGCGTAAGAAACTGGTAAGACTGATGCCACTTTTCAGGGGAGAAGTTCCTAGACACAAGTTCTTACGACTCGTAACACCCACTCGCAGTCTTAGAGCCACCCGTATATGAACAAATATAGTTTGGAAGGTCGAGTTCTAAGAATTACTTCTGGGTCTCTGTTACTTAGCGGGAGACCAGAAAGCTGACCTCAGGAGCTGGTTAAACTTTTATGACAGGTCATCAGTATGCGCTGGTTGTATGATTCTGTACCAAGTCGTATTATCCCAACACCTAGGTGTAAAGTATCGGCCATAGAAGGCCTCCACCTGCCCCTTTGATAAGTATGAAAACATAAAGATATTCAGATTCTGCAATGTGGTCACGGCTGCGGACCCTGAGGCCTGAGGTGTCAGCAGCTTTTCTCCTAACTTTGTTTCTACATTTTTTTTACTGATGCTACCGATGTCATCTTTCTAACTAATTTATTATCAAAATAAAAGCAAAGGCATTTCAGTGAAGTTTTTAATTAAACAGGAGTACTGCCTCAAATTAATAACAGCCTTTTAAATAAAGAAAATATTGTAAAAAAATATATCTACATTTTTACGACTGCAACATTTAATGCTGAGTGGGTCCATAATAATCTTGGGTTCGCTCAGCTGACTTCTAGAGAATAGTACAGTACAAAGTAGTGCAGTCGTCTTTGAGCAACTGATTTAACCCCTCTTTTACTGAGAGCTGATGGTAGAAAATACTGCTGGAATATACCCTTTTCTCTCTCAGAAAAATGAGTCCAAAAATATAATAATAAATAATGGTTGCCCCTCGTGTAACGAGGATGGCCGGCCAAAGAGTCACTTAGGCATGAATTTGTTAAAGAAGCTGAAGCTGTCGCCAACACAACAACCACGCCCTAACTTAACGAGCTGCATGACCCAGTGTCAAGGAATAGTCCGAGAAGACCGAACAACTCGCCAACTGCACTGGCTAACCATTACCCCGGAACACAGTCCGCAAATCGATTAACATCCAGGTTCCCAATTACTGCTGTGTAGACAGAGGCAAATGGCGTAAAGAATCTTTCCTATATCTTACTAAAAACAAGTTTTATACAAGTTATTTGTCTGTAGATTTTTTATTAATCACAGAAGGTTAGTTCCTTGAATACCTGAAGCAAGAAAAACTGTTAAGTGATCCATTTTGTTGGGTCACAATTTCAGGGTTTTTTTATTATATGAAATAGACAGATTGTTGTGTGTTTTTGTTTAAATGATTTTGAAATGCCGTCTTTCAGATTCACTAAATTACCTAATGTATTCCTGAGTTTATGAGAGTCAAGTAGTGAATCATATGGAATTTTGTTTGTCTTACGAAAACTGATTAGATACAAATAATCTCTCATTCTATGGCGTTATACACACAATTAATTAGCACAAGAATGATGAACAGGCATCGATTAGTCGAGAATTTGTTCGTACTTAGAACGGTTATAATATGAGCTTAATGACATGAATTCGGGAAAGTTGCTGACACCCTCAGTTCGTGAAACACATCTATCAACTTTCTAACGTATTATTATGTAACACACACAGTCGGGGACAAAAGTTCCCTCATTTGGGGTTGATGCAGCTTCAATTTAGGAGGGAGCAAACTCTTGACCCCGACAGTATATATTGCTCAAACGGAAATCACATACCCAAATCCTGCCACCTATTTAGGGCGTAGTCTCAGAACACGTCACTTCCGATTGTGGATTACTTAAGCGACGGACTGACGGTGTCGAAGGGACTTGAAGGGCGGGTGGCGATTAGCATAAACGTCCTGCTTGTAACTCTGTATAAAACATTCCCAGAGGAGAATCCTCCTATTTGTATACATCAAATGCTTGACTTCCCTTGCACACTTATCAAAAAGAATAGAGATTAAAGAAGGTACAGACAAGGCAAGGTGAGAGAACAACATCTACAGAATTTACCTGATCGCTCGGGGCTACCAGAGAGTTTACACCTTTAAAGTATACAACCAGTCATTACTGTATCACTTATGGTGCCAACATTATCGTAGCTGAGATATTCATCCCTTACGTTATCCTTGAGGGGCTATAGGAGTAATACCCACACAGAACTTCAGAGTTTGGATTGGTGAACCATCGGAGTAGACAAAACTACAATATTATTCAGCTGCAGCAAATCAAATTTGTGCTTGGTTACAGAGATGTTGACAGTAGTTGGCTAAGTTGTTGGCGTCTAGGAATCTCTGGCTAATGTTGTTTGTGATGTTTCACGTGGTTATGGAGGACACTTCTCCGATGCTCACTTTGAGAGATATAGTTCTTCACGAGCTTGTCCCTGATCTTGTTAATTATGAACCAAGCTTAGAGAGAGGGAGGCCTTGGTGGCTGGAGGGACGAATTCTAACAAGGGATTCCTCTTAACCTCCTTGCTAAAACCTTTACTCATTTATGTATAACGATTTTATATTGAGTGAGGAGACGGCAGAATGTCTTCTTTCATATAGTCTTTATTCATTGATAATCATGTTTCCACTTGACAATGGTGATAATCTTGGTTCGTAACGTAATTTTGTTTGTCTATATTTACTCTAGCTGGTGTACTGTGTAGGGTGAGTGTTAAGCAGGTTCCTCCTCTCTGCAAGAGAAAGTTGGTTGGAGTTCATTGGAGTCCTGCTATCTTTTTGGGGGGTGAGAAGTTGGTGAGTTTTGCCTTTTTCACAGCAGGACTGGGGATAGCAAGACACACCCTCTCTCCAGATACTTTAAATATAGTAAAAACATGATATTCCGGGACAGACACGTCTTTTGGGGCAATAAAGCAGACTGGTTTTTTTTGGCTAGGTCAGTACTCGGCAGGTGTCGACCCGTTTAAAGAACCCTCTAGTTCATTTAGGATACCTAAAGTACTATTAAGTACCCTAAACTACCCCCCTTACAGAGAAGGGTATGCAGACCCTTGCAAATAAAGAGGCCCTTAATCACATACACTCTTTGGGTTCGGTTTTCCTAAATTACTGTGTGCAATGACGAGCGATAAGAAATACACTGACTGGTTGTTATTGTAACCCCCACCGCTCTTATATTTTGCTTCCAGGTGCTGTGCAAAACTCAAGCTGGGAAGCACTCAGTTTATTTTTCACTTTTGTTTGTTGGTTGGTCGGTATAACAAGCGGCTTGTGTGTCATCATTATGACCTGACCTCATGTTTTTAGGTCACCCTGTATATTTAAGCCTCTCTCTGTCCATGTAATCCAGTTGCCTCTGAAGATGTCTTGAATAAAGACGAAAGCTAAGGTACTCCGTTGTTTCCATTTTCCCGTGTGATTTTATCAAGATTTATCTTATCCACGTTTTCATTGTGATTATTACATAAATATATATATATATATATATATATATATATATATATATATATATATATATATATATATATATATATATATATATATATATATATATATATATATATATATATATATATATATTAGGGTGGTCCAAAACTATATGGTAAAAAATATAAGTAGTAATATATTGCCTCCACAAGCCTTAAAATTGTCCATTTGGTTCATAGATAAGGTCTGTAAAATTTTATCCATATTCATTAACATTTAGAGGTCAATCCATTTTGCATATTATACTTGTAGTGTAGGACTGAATTTTCTTGTCCGCATGATACAGTCTTAATATACACAACACATTATATTGGGTATATTTCAATGTATATAGCCTAGTTGCCTATTTGGAAAGGGCAAAGAGTCAAGTATTGAGTCATAGGGACTGACAATGACAGGTTGAAACAGGAAACACAGACAAGGGTTACCATTAATCAGATGAAGTTACTTATTTCATTTATATCTCATCAGTTCTACAATTATTTCATTATCAATCTAAATAGTATATTTTGCTGAATAAAGACAATGTGTTTATAATGTGTTTATCTAGCCCCGAAAAATCCTTATTACGTACTAAATGGAAAAAAAGAGGACATTGGATTGACCTCTAAATATGCTTTAAATGATCCAATTTTTTTCTGGGATGCATTTTGTACCTAATGGACAAAAATAAACCTTGTGGAGAAAACGTATACAAATATGTGATATTTTGGACCACCCTATATATATATATATATATATATATATATATATATATATATATATATATATATATATATATATATATATATATATATGAAGATGTTTATTTATTTTGTTTATACTTTTAGGACCTTTTGACAATATAAAAACAATTAAAAGGGCACAGAGACGTTTCTCCTCAGCACAAGACTTACCGTAAGTCCATTGGATCCGAGAATCCTGATGCAAGAACCTTGACGCCAGACCAGCACGTCCTGATCCTCTTCCTTCACTATCAGTCTGTGGGCGTAATTATCACCAGGGATGGTGAACTTCTCTCCATTGATAAGTATCTGCAGGAGGCGGGTGTTGTGGTTAGTAACCATTCTAACACATCAATCAATGTACACCCTACCTGTACCTCAACCCTGCAACTCTGGTGAAAGTGGAACCACAGGAATGCCTGTCCGTTAGTGTGGATACAGAACACCATGTACAATTCCTTCGATGCACAAGGAGACAGTTTGGCCAGTACTGCACTTGATCGAAAAACTGAACCATGAAATAGGAAGCGAGTGCTGTAACCACTCGACCACGCTCGTACACCTCTTGTATACACTACTAAAGAAAACCAAGTCATCATATTCAATCTTTAGAATCAAACCATTGTTTACATGCATCGCAGTAACATAATGCTTTACAGTTACGACATCTCCATGAAACCTCAAAAATAGTAAGTACACAGACCGCTTACAGACAATTGGGTTGACTGTAGCATGTAGTTTAGATGATCGAACAGGAGTCAAACCAAAGTACCCTTCCGGTTTCCCAGTTAGTGCATCAATAAATCAAGTTACTGTATATATGTGTATGAACCAATGAGTATTATAAAACACTTTATTGGTTTATGGTATGAATAAAACGTAAAATAAACACAAAAGGTTTAAAAGCACAGAAGATGGGTGGTTTAAAGCTTCACAAAAGTGTCTGGTTTATGAACAAATATTCCCACATCGGTGAAACTTCGGTCCAATAATGTTTAATATGTTCTATCAAGGTACTATCCCCATGTCTAAGCACTGGTCCTTTTGCATTCCACCCCATACGTTTTCGGACTGTTTCTTTTAATTCTCCTTATTCTTACCTTTTTCCTGGTTCTCGTTTTTTTTACTTCATTCAGCCATCCTATATTCCGCCTTCCCTGGCCCTCCTGCCAATGACTGTATCCATTAAAATCTCTTATTCCATCTTATCCCTGATTTTATGATTCAAGTGTCCCATCCGTGATTTTTCAGCATTTCTCTTCATTTGCTTTTCTATCAGAGTAACAAACTCCTTGAGCATCACATCTAAAAGGCTTCTGGGCTCTTTCTAATGTCTACTGAGAGTGTCAAGCTTCTGACTCCTCCAGTAGTACCGACCTAAAGTTCTTAACGCTGTTTTTGTTTGAGCTTCTAATGATTTTAGAATCTCTTTTAACTCTACCACCACAACTTTTGTTGATTCCCATATAAACTAAATATGCCACTTCTTTAAGCAACCTGTTCTTTATCATAATTTATTAAAGGTTTAATTCTAATTTGGAAACAACTAATACTTCCACCTATAAGGCATTAACACTAAGGCTCTAAAGTCATATACTTAGCTTTTTTCAAAACTAATCTGTTGACCAGTTATTGTAATACTTTCCACGACCTGTAATACGAGCACTAACATTGAAATACCGAATGTTCATACTATTTTACCATTAAATTTTATTTCATTCACTGTTATTTACAAATGCTCTCATTAGAAATTCGAATATTCGAATAAATATGTTAAGAAGTTGGAAATGGAACGCAGCAGCCATCCTAAACTTGCTGTCTGACTCTAAACTAACACTGCAACTTTCTGATGCCACAAATATTGATTTGAAAAATCCAATAACATTCTCGCTGATGCCTTATATCCAAGACACCTAAAAGTTTATTATGTTTTACTGGGATGAAAAAATATCTTCAAAATCCAGTCTTTTTCATATTCATATTATACTGTAATGCACTACTTCCTTCAACAGCATATGGCTTTAAGCGTGTATACCAGAATTATAATTGCACTAGACATTATCAATTAAGAATTTATGGGAGATTCATCTCTTTAATAAAAAGAAAAAATTGTTCGTAACTGAGGACATTAATTTCCCTTGATGATGAAACAGGTGAGTATAACTTACTAACCCTTGCATCATGATCATGGCAGCAGCACATATCCCTGACAAAGTTCTGTAGTCATTATTGATAACATTGGTCTATATTATTCCTAAGCCACCCGAGTTGTTATATATTAGGCTATATTATAATTGTTTTCATTTATATGTTAATTAATTTACTAAATCTACTGATTGATTCCTTATTTACTATTGATATATTTTTAAATTATTAATTCACGATGTAGTATTTCTTATTCTAGTCATCAACTACTTTATTTAGTTATTATATTCATTAATTTTTCCATAATCGGCTGTGAAAAGTCAAAAGTAACAACTTACATCATAAATTTTGGGAGCATTGAGACCTAGATACCCGATGCCGATCAACAACTTGGGATTGTCCTTAAAGATAGTTCTGTGAAGGCACGACGGCACTGCGTAGCATTTCCTGTGGGAGAACTCAGTTATCGTCGTCAGGTATCTTGTAATATTCACCGTTGAGAAAGTCTGGTTCTGATCAGTTTAAAGCATCTATTAAAAAAAGTGTCCATTTACAGCTTAAGCTTAAGGCAAACGTGCTGTGCTCCCTAAGTGATAGCAGCCATAAAAAAATTTAATTAACCTACTGTAGTTATATGAATATAAAACCTAGGTGATTTTTCTTTCGTTTATTCTTATAGTTGAATGATTATGTTGACCGTTTTTTGGCTGGTTTATTACTATGCCAGTGTGAACGATTTGGTCAAAACCCATATCAATTTCATAAAATTTTCTTGGCTAAACGTGACACCATAAAACTCACTTGAATTCTGTGAAAATTCCAAAGTTGGGAGTCCTACTGAATTGCTCCTGAGTGAGGGCGTATGTGCATTCTCCGTGGTAGTCGAACCTGTGCCGGTCAAAACTCATGAAATGGGGATCGTTGAACACTTCACAACGTTTACCTGTAGGAAGAAGTAAACAAAACTTTGTAAACAAAAAAACATGTTTCATATACAGTAATATACACCTTCAGGACACCAGCCCACAGAATATCAATCACATATACACCAAATTACAGGTTGGCATAATAATTAATACAAGTTACACACTTTCTCTACGGGTATCCACATCACTACATGGACTTGGTCAGAACGTTCTCCAGGGCAGTGTATCCAGCACCTCAGACAAAATACGCATCCATTTGATGATCGAACGTCTTGGCCACCCCCACTGATGTAATTCCCAGCAAAACCAACATTGCCAACTAGAGATATACATCATGAAAATTGGTTGGCTCGGACTAGTAGACTTGCTAGGGGAGTGAACACTGCATTTCATATGCAAAGGTCCCACTTGGCATAAGAGTTCCTTGGGGCAAGAGGAAAAAAATATCCAAAGAAACACTTTGTCTCTATGCATAGAACCCACTAATTAGCATAAATTATGCTAATTAACACCCGAAAGAAGGCAATTTCTAACTTTTAAACCATTTCGTTCAGAAACATGTGTGGTTAGTTGAACTGGCTAATTTTAGGGTCAGGAATCCATTTTGGGGGTTATTTTGAAATTTGGCGGCCATTTTAACCCTCAAACATAATTTCAACTTTTGAACCGTTTGAGCTACAAACTTGTGTGATATTTCAATTTCTACTAACTTGGGGGTTGGGAAACTCATTTCTGGTATTACTTTTGTGATAGGGGGTTATTTAATAGGATATTTAAGGTGAATTCCAAGATAACTGTTATTGGCTATATCAGAAAAACATGATGCATCGAACTTATCTTGGAGTACATCTTAACATTTGAATTCATTGAAGACAAACTTTATGATGCAAGACTTTTTTTGTATTTTCAGGTTATAATATTGATTGAAATGAGAGATAAGTGATTCAAAATGACCAGTGTGGATACACGTAACTGAAGCTTATGTTTTATATGTCGGTCAGATACAAATGAAGCAGTTACAGATCCTGCATCATCTATAAAATTACGTGGCCAACCCAAGAAACTAAAGCATGTTACCAAGAACTTCTGGACAATATCTCAAAGCTCTATGAGTTAGGGGAGTTACCCAGCTTCATAGTATTAAATGACAATGGTGGCGGGGGTGGTGGTGCAAGCAGTATAGTAGAACTTATGAAAAGTAACCATGTAGAGTGGCGCAAAAAACTGCAGAGGTGCCGTCAACAAGCAGAAGGTGGAGCGGACCAAGAGTAAGGTATAGAGGAGGAGTAAGCACCAAGGAAGCCCAATGAAAACACGGCGGATGAGATCTGGCTGAGTTTGTGTCACATAGAAGTCCCAGGTTACATCATCTGAAGGCAAGGACTCTTCTGAAACAAAATGCTTCTTTTGTGAAGATTCTGGAGACAAGAAAGACTTGCGAAAAGCTTCCATTCTTGCAAGGAAAATCGGTAAGGTGAAACTTCAGGGTAAACTGTCGAAAGAAGACATTATTGCGATATATGCTGTGTACCACCGTGCTTGCCTGAGTAGACTTTATAGAATGGCAGATGCAGTTGATCTTGATTCAAATAATAAAAGCTCAAGTTTTCAAAGAGCTTCGTGATTACACTAAGGACCTCCGTGAATCTGGTACTGTTCTGAGTATGGCTAAATTGACAGCACTTTATGATAAACATCTCGTATCTCTTGGTTGCCCCCAAGGTCATGGTCATACAACTCGACTTCGCCATGATATTGTCAATATGCTCCCTGACATTAAGACGATAGAAAAGTCATCTGGCTGCTGGGAGCTGGTGTTTGTGAAGATCTCAGTCAAGTAGTTGGGGAGATGAAGAACACCACCTCAATAGACATGAGAATTTTGGCACAGGCAGCCAAGATTCTGCGACGAGATATCCTAGAGAAAAGGCAGGTGTTTTCAGGCTCTTTCTCAACCACCTCAGAAGCTGACTCCGTTGTTCCCACTCTGAGATGTTTCCTACATATATTGTTAGATTGCCCTGGTATTGATGTCGATATTCCTCCTGCTTCCTCAAGGAAGATCGTGTTACCACTGGCCCAGACCATCATGCACAACTCTGTGGGGAAAAGGTTACCGAATCCCCAGAGTGTGTAGTGCCTCGTCAACGGCGTGAGCGAGAGACTCTATTGTCTGGTGCTGGCTATGAAGGTGCATATGAAGACTGGCAAGGAGAGTCTTGTTGACATGCTGGCTGAACGAGGCATCTGTGTGTCGTAACACCGGCTGTGTCAGCTGAGCACTGATATTGCCAACTCGGTCATTGCACATTAAACAGGGATGGTGTAGTTCCTTCACAGGCCACCAAAGGAGTCTTCACGAAAGGGGGGATTGTCATCATTGATTATTATCGTTCATAAGTTCCTGGTACTGGAACAAGGAACTACTTCACTTCTATATAGAATATTGTTCTTTTTTTGTTAAGACCTTTAACTGCCAGGGTTATTAAGTATAACATACTAGTTTTACAGCAAACAACTTCTTCAGATTTAGGAGAGAGAAGAGAGGCCTCTCTGGTCCCCGCTTCTATACACGGCTACCGTTTCCTTTTATTTAAGGAATTCATAATAACTAATATTATTTGTACCATTTCACGTTGAGCTATTCACACTCGAGTCTTAGTTTCTAATGATAAAACCTTTTAAAATGTCGTTAGGGTGAGGCTAAATATTAGCGTGTTGTTAATGTGCTTTATTTACGTGCTTCGGTTATCAGGGTTAATACACATCGTTGACAAGTCATATATCATACAACAGAAAGCTTTATTTGTTACAGCAATGTAAGGTTTTAATGAGCTATTAATATAATTGACTGAGAGGTCAATTTAGCACAACAAGAGACAGAGATGTGATACTTACATCTGAACTCGGTGTTTCCCACAGGCTTCCATTTGCTCTTTTCACAGGTCATCTTGACGCAGCCGTCTAGAAACACTTGTCCAGGGGCATACAGAGTGTTCTTGAATTCGCAACCTAAAATACATTTAGGAAATATTACTCTTTACAACGACAAATATCGTCTCCTATTCCCCGTTGCCCAGATGGGTGTAGTTAGCAAACCCATCACCTACCCAGAGCTTCACGGGTCTACCTCCTGAATATGTAAGAGCGTAAAGAAGAAAACAAAAGAAATTGAGATTTCAGAACGTGTGCAGGTGCAAACAAGATAATAAAAAAGTGAGAATTACGGACTGATGGACAATACTTAGTTGTGTCGATTTTGAGAGAAACGAAGATAAAAGGTTCAGTACATGGGACGTATACAGGGATGCATGAGGTGACGGTTGTCCAAGAGTTAAGGTGTGGCTCTGCTGTTGAGTCGAGTTATGTGACGTAATACAAGGGGTAGTCCCAGAATATTATAGGTCAATCAAAAAGTAGTTATAAAAGTGGAAGATTAAAATACAAGTGTAGATGATAAGCCTTTATCACGTACAGAAATGGATTACTATATTCGGTGACCTATTGAGTAAATATATAGTACTAAGAATGAACCGAAATGGGAAGAAAATTATCCATACTTGTGCAGGAAGAAAGCGATTAAGTATGTATAAGTGGAGAGAAAATTTGAAAAAATAAATTGATGTAAATGTAATGTGAGAAGCTGCTTATGGAGCGTCTGACTGAAAACTTAGGACAAAAATGTATCATAAAATTAAGAGAAGGATTAAGAACATGGTGAGAGAGAATTCCCCGAAACAGGAAGTGGAAGAAATAAAAGTTATGAATGAATACAGCCAAAAAACAAAGTGTTTCAACTATAAGAGAGAAATAATTGATAGCATTTAATTGAGGCGTTGACGAGGGAAATATTGACTGAGCAATAGTGAAGAAATAAACCGTCTAACAGGAGAATAGATTGAGAAGAAATGAAGGACTATTCGTTGATGAGGACAATCGCTTTATAGTTTATTGTTGAGAAATAGAACCTTGGTGTACATCCCTCCATGTTAGAGTATACTCCATATGAGGGTGGTCGTTGTGCAGGGCTTCACCATCCAGAACAAGAAAGCATTTTTACTTTTTGGGGGTAAATTTTTTATTTTGTGGCTGACATAATACTTGTGTTTGTGAATGAAAATGTGGGGCTGAGAATTATCTTGTTTGCGGGAGATAAAGTTTGTGCCTCTATTTGAACAATGAATATAGCAAAGTTGTTTTTGAACTACCGAGCTATGAATTCAGGATTTGTTTGATACAAGTCCAGTGTTCAGGTAATCAACTAGGGATTAGACAGCTTGGAGAAAATTTGGGTTAGTTGGTGTCATTAACAAAAGAGTACGTGCTGTTCTATGGAAAGGAGAGGAAGTTATTGCTAAGGAGTAAAACGTGGGAAGGAGGAAGAACGGAACTGAAGAAGCATTTCAACATTGATGAAAAAGTAGTGTGATTGTGAAACATTGACAATTGCTTGAATGTGCTATTTAAGAAGAACTCCGAACAAAAATAAGAAAATTGGGACATATGCATAGAACTTACAGCCAGAATTTGCATTTTCAAACAACTTGGGCATAGGTAATCCGTTCAAACACAAAATCTGCACGCACTTGTGATCTACTGTCACCAACGGCATTCCATGAAGCACCACGATGCCGTTGTTGTTGCAGGATCTGGTTCCTATATGACATGGAGACAGAGATAACATTAACTTACTGAAGGATCACATTGCACATTGTTTAATTACCAATATTACTATCAAGTGATATCTTGTCTACTGCTGTTTAACAATAAAGATTAATAATATATCCTGCGCCTTCAATAACACCTTCCCTGTTAACACTGGTCAACCTTGAGAGCAACCTATTTAAAGAAAGTTAACTGCATGAATAAAAATTAAAGTAAATTGATCCTGACCTCAACTCTTATAAAGAAAGAATTAGTTTTGACACCATTCGCGATGAATGCAGTCCAACCTTTCTTCATCTGCTCTTCCAGATATCAATAAAATTAGAAGCAAAGGTAAAGACTTCGTTTTTTGACAATTTCATTACTAGTATTGTAAATCAAATAGCAACAGCCTTCCGAGTAACCCTTGGTACCATAACGAGGGAAAGGGCACATTACCAGACCATCATTTGTCAATTAACGCTCTGTGCTGCCCCACCAACCCAGTTCCTCAACTACAAAAAAATATATATATATTACAAATGTATTCAGATTTGGATTGATATCATATATGGATATTTATTTTATTCGTCGTCTTTGAACTAATACAGTAAAGAAATAACAGCTTCCTATGTCTAGCATGAAATTATTATATGCGATATGAAATCTACGTTACGTGCCCATAAGTTGCACTGTGTCCTTCAAGAAAACATTTATTTCTGCTTTATCAAGTTTATTGTTTGTTGTAGAAACCGATCTCTTGTTCACTCCTGAATAAAACTTTTTGATGAAACATTACTATACGACAACACCAACAGCATTTGCGGAAAATTAACTTAGTCAGTGTCCATTAGGCAAACTACAGTCATATAATGATAATAAACTATTTGGGATCTCTCTCTTATCATTGTATTGTTAAAGGGTCAGTTTTTTAAGCAACGTTTACTGCATCTTTGTGTGAAAAGTTAGGTTTACAGCTTTGAAACACCATGTTCAATCAATAAGCATTTCAAGTTTCTTTCTACTGTTGTAATTGATGTAATTTAGGTGTTTTACCTCCTTGGGTAACTGACCAAATCTTGGAATATTACTACTGACAACATTTGAAGACTGGCGGTAGAACATTCGGTGACACTGTCAAATATTTAAACATAAATTTACAATATACTTACCAGCGGTTGCATGGGTCGCTGGTAGACCTCCAAGTAAGAGGGAAACCAGCACAACTGGCAGCCACATCTTCATTAATCAGCGTACTCCAGGCGACTCGATAGCTCTGTGCAATATAAAATTATGATCATTTTTTTTTTCGGAGATCAACCCAGCCGAGAAAATGGAGGTGGGGTGATATTCTGTGACTCTCAAAGTGCTTTGAAATCAATGAACAGCCCGTCAGGCTCTATGTCTAAAGTTGTATGTGATATTAAAAGAAAAATGTGATAACTGCCAATGAGAACAACTCTCGTATCGAATTTGTGTGGATTCCGTCCCATGTTGGAATTAGGTATCATGACCGTGCTGATAGACTGGCCAATGAGGCATGTAAGAAAGAAAATGTTGACCGTGACCTTGGCCTGTCCAATGCTGTACTTAAAAATATTCAAGTCAGAATCATGTAATCTGATCTAGAAGAACTGAGAAATGCAAAAAGACCTGGCAGTTTTAGCATTAGTAAATATGACAAATTTTGTGACGAGAGGTACCGGTATGGCCAGCATAAGGACAGAACCAGACAATGTGATGTAGTCGTGGCCAGAATTAGGCTAGGATACAGACACATCTGGCAGGTTAGTAACGCTGTACCCATACCGGAACACTCAGCATGTAAACTTTGTGATAAACCTTTAAAGCATACACTTGAACACTATATTATTGAATGTGACACTGTCAAAGATTTCAGGCCACCTGGCTTATTGTATCATGAACTTTGTAATTACTTCATTGAATCAGGTGTGCTTGAGGACATTCTTGCTGTTTATCCCAAATTTGCTAGCCCACACTGATTAGTCTTCAATTAGAATATGACGTCCAATGTATATGAACCACTGTCTTGCATGGCAGTGAACAGTGACATTACCCACATGACTCTGACCTATATATACTGTTAATGAATATGATGTATTTCTTTGTGTATGAACCTCTGTCCTGCGTGGCAGTGAGAAGTGATACCACCCTCAGTGTCAAGACCTGACTGAATTACTCAGAATAGGCAAACTGTACTCCAAGCTTTGTCAATATTTTTTTTAAACTAAACCCGAGAACATGTCACCGACCTACATAGCCGAATTCTTCTTGTCCGTATTACCAAATTAGAAATATTTATAATTCAACCATAAATTCTTATCCTTACAACCGGAAATACCACATTGTCCAGGCAGCTTCCTGGTTGAATAATATGAGCTCCTGAAGCTGTTCCACCATCACTTGTGGCCGGTTAGGCAACCATGGAGTTAGCTGACATCTCAAGAGATGGGAATGGTAGGAACTTTTCTTACTCTTTACTACAATGTAAATAACATTTTGTGTGTGATCATTAAACTAATATATATATATATATATATATATATATATATATATATATATATATATATATATATATATATATATATATATATATATATATATATATATATATATATATATATATATTGCACTAAATAAAAACAACCGAAGTTTTTACCAAATAGATTTATTCTTTTTATTGCTATAACAATAAAATTTAATTCGTAAAATTCGTTATTTTCATTAATACGTCGTTTACCACCATAGGCGAGCCAAATTATACTTAAAGTAGGTTAAGTTAGGTTCGTTATTTTTTAATATTCACCTTTCTCCATCATGATGATCTACATGACCATCTGCGCTGTTATCATGATGCTACTTTGACAACAAGAGGCTCCTACTATACAGTACGTTGTTAGTTATTACGTGTGTAACTACGATAGTTTGATGCGTCTTAAAATGATGATACTTATTATATAAAAAAATATTTATATATATATATATATATATATATATATATATATATATATATATATATATATATATATATATATATATATATATATATATATATATATATATATATATATAAAGATCCCAATTATTACCGAAAAATTAAATGCCAAAAAGCAGAACCAAAATTGTTTATAAGGACGTGTTCCAAAATATTTGGCATGACCCTCTTAAACCTTCTAAAAAATGTGTAATGTAATTTTCAAAACTGTATTCAAACAAAAGAAAATATTTCTTTTAAAACCCGGACATACCATCTTTGGTGCTTCATGATAGCAAAGTAGTGTACGAGGATTTTTGCGAGACAGTTCAAACGTTTTCTCAATCTGGTTTGTTATGACTTAGTAAACGGCAGACGGACCAGAGAGCCAGCTGAAGTAGCAGACATTAAAACAACACTGGGAACATATCTTCCACCCACACACCCAACCCAACACAGACCCATCCTAAACACCATAAATAACATCACCGCACAAAGACTACACGACAGAATTACACCAGAAAACACTATAGACACCATCACTCTCACACAAGAACACATCCTCACTGCACCATTCACCCCGACGGTAGTCAAACAACCACTCGATAGAACAAAGAAGAAAAGAGCAGGTGACAGGAATATAGGACACCAAATCCCAAAACATTTACTCCTGGAAGCAACCACAGCCATCACCTACCACATACCTCTACAACACTCAACTTGCTACAGGATACTTCCCCAAACTCTTCAGAACAACCACAGCCAGGCAAAAATCACAGACCCACAGAGCTAGACATTTAAAAACTGTACAACCAACGCCTCTGGTACCACCTTGAAGATGAGGAATTGCTTTTACACAAACCATTTAGATTTGGGGCTCAATACTCCACACAGGATTCAATGAACGTAAACACAAACTTCCTCCGCAGGAACAAGAGACCATACAAGACAGCACTCATCACCAAAACATTTAACATAGTCTGGCACGATGGACTAAAATACAAGATATGCACAAACTTCAACCTTCCCCAGAAAATCACAACTCCTATGCAACTTCCTGACAGACAGACAAATGAGAATTAAATTAAAACATGAAAAAACACTACTTCCCACTAACGCAGGAGTTCCACAAGGCTCAGTACTCTCACCAACACTATACATACTTCACACTAATGACCTGCCTGACCCCATACATACTGACTCAGTGACCATACAATACTCTGACGACATAACACAACTAGTCAGACACGGAACAGTACTAGACTACATTACAGCAAAAACACATAGGGAACTCGAACAGGTCACAAAGTGGGAACTCAAATGGCGTATACAAACAAATTCTATCAAATCATAAGTCATCTACTGTGGCACACACAAAAAAAGACACCAACCTCGCCAGGTATACCTAAACCCATGCGCCAACAGCCCAACACCCATATCTATAAAACAGCAATAGCATAAAAAACAATCACAGTCATACAAAGATTCAAAAGTGCAACAACAAAACTAAAACACACATATACAAAGCACTAATACACCACCCCCCACCCCCCTGTTATCATACGCATCCAACGCACTCCAGTTAGCAGCACCAACCAATATCAAGAAACTAAAAGTCATTCAGAATAAAGCACTGAAGTTCATACACATAATGCACCAGACATAATTTATCACAAACGAACACCTACATGAACACAGAAACATTCCACCTCTCAACATCTACTGAAGACATTAAGTGAGAAACAGGTGGAAAACTCTTAACCACAGAACCCACAAAGGCAGCAATACTTTGACGACATCATACTTCACCGCAGATACAGAAACAGGAGCTCTTCCATACTAAACAGACCTAAAACACCATGCCCACCCCGCTATACTAAAACACGCAATCAACAACAATAACAATCATATATCTATACCTAGGTGGCCTGAGAACAATCCAGGTACACCCTATCAGGCCGCTCTGAGTTCAGATATTCTCCTTTCACCACTCCACTCAAACTCTCACTGTGTAATAGCAATATCGTAACCAATGAGGATTATCCGAGGTTCTTAAAAAAAAAAAAAACTCTATGTCGATACCCCGATTCTTCCATGCAACGAATACTCTGACATTTTAAGATCAGAGATTCAAAACTCTTCCTCTCCAACTAGCTCCATTCCATCTTTGGCATAAGCTCATAGACTGTACCTTCACCTGTCACCAACAACTCTACTACTAACCTACTTCTTCCTTTTCCACTGGGCGGGGCCTATCGGGGTTCTGGGTTCTAGGTTCGAGCTGCGGCAGTGTGAGTCTTGTACGGCGGTCATGATGCTGGTAGTCTATACTACAATCCTATAACAAACAGGCATGTTGTGTTAAGCCGCGGCACCTATTTCTACTCCTGCAACTCACTTCCAGCCACTGGTTGTATTTCCACTGAACTTTCTTCACCCTTGTCACTTGGGATCTATATACAGTATATGCACCCTCACCACTTGCCCCGACAACATGACAAGGGTCACAGCAGAGTCGTTCCTCACCTACCGAGTACAGCCAGTACTGGTAGCTCACGATTCCTCCACTCCATTACTTTGTTTTTAACGGGAATGTTTTGTTATTGTTGGTTGCAATATGTTTGTTATTCTTTGTGTATTCATCTTTAGAATCTAGGCTAGTGTTACTTCAGCGATTCTTACTAAATATAGTTAAAGTGGAGTAAAGAATAATAAACAACTCTGTGTCTTGAATAAAGACGAAAGCTAAGGTGCTCCGTTGTTTCCATTTTCCCGTGTGATTTTATCAAGATATACATATATATATATATATATATATATATATATATATATATATATATATATATATATATATATATATATATATATATATATATATATATATATATATATATATATATATTGGTTTTAATCATAATTTATGACACTAAAGACTGTATCGAAACTAAAATAAATAAAAAATATGTGAACCCACCTAATGTTGATTATGGTCCACGGGATGTAAGCTCCAAGGCGGCCGGACTAACAGTGGTGACAGGATGCGTTTCTCTGGCCTTTATATTCCATTAACCAAGGTAAGGTTTGGCAACATTGTGGACACTCCTCGTTCCTTCACTTGTAAAATTAACATAATTGGAATTTTCGGTGAATGTGATGGAGTCGCGATAAAAACAGAGTATCAAGAAGGAATTAGAATGGTGAGAGACTTATGAGTACTTGGGCACGTACACTACTATTCAGATCTGAAGTCAACTGGAAAGGTAATTATCAGCATAACATGAAGTATAATGTTAACATTATACTTTTCTCTATCTTCGCTCTCCCAGTCAAGTAGTTCAGACTAGCTGCATTTTCTTATCAATCAGTTACGACAACTCTCCGAAGATCAGTCCAGATCAACTACCAATCACATTACCTTGTAGCTCATGGTGTTGGAGGGACAACAGTATCGTGTCTCTCTTACCATTGTCGCTTAGGTTTGATTTCGTGGTCCTGAATATCTGTGAAAAATATGTTATCCAGTGTGACCCTCCCAAATGTTGCAGATTTGTTCTGGGTACACTACTTCTCTCAGTAAGAAGAATTGGGGGTTAAACAATCCACTAAATAATCGTGTCTCGTCACAGAGGTGGTGTTGAATTTTGTGCAATAATACGTACAATAACTAGTTTTGGGATAATCAGAGTTTAAACTTTTCAAGAGTGTTCTGGACTGAAATACATAATGACAGGATATATCAGAGGAAATAGTCATCATGTAATTATAAGAATCTTCTTGATAACCTCAATTAACAAATCCCCAACGTAAACTCTGAGAAACAGTTTGTTACATGACAGGAGATTTCAATCTTAACTTCGTAAAATCAGAGACAGACAAGCCCGTGCTATACCTCGTTGCTACCTATCATTCTTAATGTGGTTTTATATTTAACACAATGATTAAAGCTTATCTCTCATCACTTCATATTTGTGATGTATTGAACAAGTTAGTGTGACAAAGATAAGGTAAATTTTATTGCGGTATCAACTTCAAAGATAACTTCCAGGACGTCGGCTGGTATGTTATTATACGGGTGTATGCCTTAGTTGTTCACGTGGAATTTTGTTGCAATTCCTGTATTGTTAGTGATGTTTTCTAATATATTTTCCTCTCTTGAGTCTAACACGTAATTAATTATTCTCTAGGCCCGCTATAATGACTGGAATTGACACACTGATACCCAAAAAAATTCCAACGACTATATGAAAACAGCCTAATTTAATGTAAATACTCTCATCAACAGACAAGAAAACTTGGGACGATAATAATTCTCTCTTGGGAAACGTCACTTCAAGGCGTTGGACATCTCTTTCGTGGAATGTGATCAAAAAAAGACTACCGGGCAGCAAACGGCTCTCCTCTCTAGGTGACACTTCCTGGGTGATGCAAGCTTAAGGGGAAGTAACACTTTCTGGGTGAGACAAGCTTAAGGGGAAGTAACACTTCCTGGGTGATGCAAGCTTAAGGGGAAGTAACACTTTCTGGGTGAGACAAACTTAAGGGGAAGTAACACTTTCTGGGTGATGCAAGCTTAAGGGGAAGTAACACTTTCTACAAGTTTAAGGGGAAGTAACACTTTCTGGGTGATGCAAGCTTAAGGGGAAGTAACACTTTCTGGGTGAGACAAGCTTAAGGGGAAGTAACACTTTCTGGGTGATGCGAGCTTAAGGGGAACTAACACTCTCTGGGTGATGCAAGCTTAAGGGGAAGTAACACTTTCTGGGTGATGCGAGCTTAAGGGGAACTAACACTCTCTGGGTGATGCAAGCTTAAGGGGAAGTAACACTTTCTGGGTTAGACAAATAGCTTATAACCACTGAACAGGGAAGTGTACCACTGAACAAAGGGTGGACTCCAAGTCTTACTCAGATTCTTCCCTTAGTAGGGCGGCTTAGCTTCATTTTTTAGGTTGATCGTCACTTGGCGGATAAAAGCACCAAATTTGGTACGAAGTTTCCTCTAGACATCCCATTAACTTTTAGTCTCGAAGCCATCCTGAACATTTCCCAGAATCCCCTAAAATAGCAAAATTCTAAGATGGCTGCTAGAAATTCATGATATGACGTATGATAATAAAAGACTGTATTTTTTTATAACTTTCTTCGTGATTTACTCACATTTATTATGAAAAATGATATTCTGAATAAATAATGGCGTTTCATCACATAATAGGCATTTAAAAACTCCTGAATGCCTCTTAATATTGCTAAATTATAGACTGTTCAGTATAATACACACAGATGTCAGAAATTTTTTTGTTGTACAGAAGTTCCAAGTAAACATGTCTTGGCATTCATTTCAATGTAAATATAAGAAGACACCAAGCAAAACACCGTTATCACTCGCTTTGAATTTGACATTAAGTCTAGATAGCTTTATTGCACTTGAAATTGCAAAGAGGTGATCATTGAAGATTCGCTTTGCCACATTTGCAACGTGAACAGTCACCTCTACAAGAACATTTGACCAACTCTCTGCAGGTTTTCGACACTTCAGGAATTGTTCACCAGACAGGATTCCACAACCCAGAAATTTTGGTCCAACCAAATCTTTCTGGTGATGGTACATTTTGTTGATTTGAGTGCTGGTTGTCCAAACTCCATCTTGGTAGACCGCTCGAGGCGCATGCTGAAGGTAGGCAAAATAGCTCCATTCGTAGTTCATTGACAGAACTGAAAGGGCTTGTTCCGCCATAAAGGACGATAGGGAAGCGCTCCAAACGCATGAAGTGGATGGAATCCAAATCGAGGTCTTCAAAAGGGTGAGTGGCCAGGTATGCAAATGTCTTTGTAATCTCACTGTATGCCTGCCATGTTTGCCAAGCCGAAAGCTTTCACTTTCCCTTGAATGCTGATGTAACATCTCATCCACTGAATGCATGAAAGACTGTCAGTGATAATAATTTCTGGCATCCAAGATTGGAGCAAATGGCATTAATACTTAAATAACTGTAGTTTTCCCTTTCCAAAGGCCACCCAGATGTCTGCCAATGGTTAAGTGGTTATATGCTCACTGAACACGCCAACAAGAATGACCACGACATCAGTGTCCACTATTCTGACTTGGATAGATTTTCCTCCATGCTACCAAGGCATGTAAGACAATTCCGATGTCGCCTTCCTCGTGATTTGGACACTACTGATTCCTTTTATGTGATGTAGACAGCCTTGGATGGTGTGAAGGCGAAATTCTCAGCTTTCGATGTAAGAAGTCAAAAAGTTATTTCTTATTTTCTTCAGCACGAAGGAAATCCCTCCAGTTGCCCGGAATTTTTGCCTGAGCCGACACCTTTCTGGGAATACCTTTCCCCCTTTTTTTCTCTTGTCGATTCCTTTAGACTATTTGGTATGTAATTATTCCACACAACTTCAAGCTGTGAGGCAGTCTCCAGTTGGTTTTGGAGATATGGAATAAATAATGTATCAGCATATTCTTCAAATGTGCTTACACTTGCTGTCGGAAGGGAATGGACAATAACAGCTCCATCCATGGTTTTGCCGTCGTAAGATGAAGGCACCTCAGGTTGTTCACTCTTCTCAAGAGAACGAAGTAGCTGGGACTTAGGGGCAGGCAAATGAAGTTTGCCGAAGTCTGAAAGTGAAGGTGAATATGCGTGTACTTCCTTGGAGAAAAATTTGTTATGATTCCCAGCTTGATTCTGCATAGAGATATAGAGCTGCCCAAATAGTCCAACATTATCCTGCATTTCTCTTATCTTCCTACCTTGGGTTGAAGTCCTTTTTGGTTGAGCATGCTTGAACAATCGCAGCAAATTTTCTTTGCTCGTTCATATATGGAAGTGTTGCGGCCCTCAAGGACATTCCTGACGTACTTGTCAGTATTTTCGAGATTCCGATTTGATTCCGCCACTGATTCTTTTATACAATTTCGACTGCCAAGAGTCATCAGCTCAGGAAAATCTGTTAGGAAATGATTTCTCATATTCCTCATGGTGTTGGAAAAGCTGTTCACTTGCATTTTAAATATCATCTGACTTGACAATCCCTGTTTGTGATATTTACAGTTTGGGGATCATCACCAAGTAAGCATTCACTCTCAAACTGCTCAATCAACGTAGAAAGCTATGGCCCTGAGACTATCCAGCGTTTGAAAGCATTAGGATTATCCATGAGCTTAATACATCCACCCTACTACGGAGAGGAGTCACGTTCGTCCTCTCAGATCTTATCAGGTGTGCATAATGTCTAAGTTAAATAAAGCACAGAAAAAAAGCAATGTTTACCTCAAGAACCTGTAACCTAAAGAGTTCCAAAACTTAACTACAATTTATTAGTGTTATAAATAGACACTATAACATAATCCGAATGTAACGTAATTTTACCAACTTAGATTTGAACTCATGTGCTCGTATCTTTATCTTTGTCTAAAATATATAATTTTTTTCTTTTCTTTTTGTAATAAAAATAAACCGTCTACTCTATCATGATTCATAATATGACAACTCATAAAACTGTTCCAGTTGTAATCTAAATAATTTTCTTCAAGCACATCTTCCTTGTGTTGTTTCTCCATGAATCCAAGTCCCTGGCTCGTCTATCAGATTATCGTGCAGTTTTGTTCTTTCACAGCAAGAACCTCAGCCTCTATGTCTGTTCTTCGCTTTTCCTTTTGTTTAAATAATTATTGCTGTATACTTCCAATGAGAAGGAAATTCTGCTTGTGTACTAGTTACTTCATGAAATAGTAAAGGTTGTGCTTTCTCTCTTCTCGTATATGCTGTAGTCATATATTGTACAGTACAGACCGTTCCAGCTGGCTACCATTCATACTTACTGCCTTCTGGTGTCTCTTTTTATCTGTCTCTCCACTTTACGCTTCTTTTCTGAATTCACGTGTATAATGAATTTGTTTATCTGCCACTTGAAGATTCTCCGATATGAATGTAGTGTAAAGAAGCCCTTGTTAGTGGAAGGAAGGTGTTCAGTACACATGCTGTCATCGGGCAATATAGACTACCAAATTAGTTATTATTAGAGGCTAAAATTTATAATATTATTAACATTTATATCAATGTACAGGTATATATTCAATCATAAGA